AAGACTGCAGCTCATAATGCTCTCTCATTTTGGTCAGTGTTTTGTATATTTTACTTTATTTACTCAACCTGAAATGTGATATTATAAGCACAGGTAATAAAGATGACATTTTAAATTAATTAAATTGCATTATCTCAATGTTACTATTATTTTGCATTCAGGCTTCCATACTAATTTGTATGGTTCACATACCATTATATCACCACAGCAATCAGCTTGTAGATTAACAATGCTCTCCTTTTGTCCACAGATCCTTACCAGATTCTGGGTCCCACTAGTAGTCGCCTAGCCAATCCAGGTACAATTCTAAGAATGCTCAGGTCTTTATAACACATTTGTTGTGAAGCCAGATGTTGTGAGCCTCATTCTCAAAAATGTCCTTTTATGCAGATCACACCGGTTAGATAATGAGCTGTTGAGCTGTGAACAGTGAATAATTAGCTCTTAGCTGGAAGAGGCTGTGTCTCTGACTGTTTGTCTCTCCATCAGGTTCAGGTCAGATCCAACTGTGGCAGTTCCTTCTGGAGCTCCTGTCTGACAGTGCCAACGCTGGCTGCATCACCTGGGAGGGAACCAACGGCGAGTTCAAGATGACGGACCCGGATGAAGTGGCGCGGCGCTGGGGTGAGCGTAAGAGCAAGCCCAACATGAACTACGACAAGCTGAGCCGCGCGCTGCGCTACTACTACGACAAAAATATCATGACCAAGGTGCATGGCAAGCGCTACGCCTACAAGTTCGACTTCCACGGTATTGCTCAGGCACTACAGCCGCACCCCACCGAGTCCTCCATGTATAAGTACCCCTCGGACCTAGCCTATGTACCTTCCTACCACGCCCACCAGCAGAAGGTCAATTTTGTATCACCACACCCTCCATCCATGCCTGTCACCTCCTCCAATTTCTTTGGACCCACTGCTCCATACTGGAGCTCACCCACTGCAGGAATCTACCCCAACCCAAATGTTCCTCGCCACCCTAACACCCACGTGCCGTCCCACCTGGGTAGTTACTATTAGACACCCCATTCTGACACCCTACGACCCTCTTAAACCTCCCTTTTCCACATTTGCTGACCTGCACTCCCAATGATGCCGAACCAATGAAGACTGAGTTAATAGAGGCATTTGTCCTCTGAAGAAATTTTGCTCCTAAATGAAGGATGATCAAAATTGAAGAAGATCTTTTTTTATTTGTAAGATTTGATAAACAACTGGATGCTATGCTCCAAAATGGAATACTACTTACCTTTACAAGACTAGCAACTGTTTGTTTATGTTTTTTGGACATGCGTCTGAGTTTCCTGTGCCTTTCTCTTTCCCATCCTCCAGAAAGCTGCACCTACAGGTGTCCTTTCCAAAACCTTCCCAAAACAAAGCCCGTGGACAGGGAGAACAACTCAAGTCTGTGTGTCTCCTCACCACGCTACAGTGCCAGACATGGGCCTATTATTTATGGGTCTCAATCTACGTCCTCCTCAGTACATTATATACATTATGCTTTAAAGCATCTGCCTTTTCTGCTCGTCTACAGCCATGACAGGGTTTCTTATTCCTACCACATCTAGCCTTCTGTTTCCACTGTCTCCGTCTACTCATCTGTCCATCTGCATCTTTGTATGTGTGTGTGGAGAGTCTTCTGGAATTCGCTGGACAAGGAGGAGCTCTCAAAGAGATGGACTTTTCTCAGCACTGAATGAAATTTGGCAACTGGAATATGCCATTCACAATTTAATTTATCCTCCAAACTGGAAGGCTAGAGAAGAGTTAAATGCTGGAGAAGGAAGCGCTGTATGTTTTGCTGACCTGGGTCAAATCGGTTACTTAAAATGCTTTCTGTGTGTTGTGTGTGGAGTTCAACAACATGTACAGTTGACTCGACTGTGCTGGGGAAGCTGAGTCAACATGTAATTGAAGTAATTTGCAACAATAATTCAACCCAGGTCAGATGTTTTCAGGGGGCCACACACTAGGCTATCCAATGTTTGCCATGTTGTTGCCTTTCAGCCATGCCATTTCCAGATGTTTTGTCGCTCGACCATGTCAGTATTAATGTGAATGTCTTCTGGTTTGTGAAACGCGTAAAAAGGGATACCCTGCAGCAAAATCAAAATTTGTCAGATGTTTTCATTTAGTTTTAATTAAAAGAAAAAAAAAAGTCTTTATTTTTAACACCATTTTTGCTGCACACATCTGAATCTAAAACATGAACGTGCCTATCTCTTTCTGCGGAATAAGACTGTATATTGTTTGGATGTCTTTTTTATCCAAAGTGCCTTACAGTGCCATGAGTGCATCTGATTTTATTATATGGCATAATGAGAAACCTAACCCTCACAGTGCCTTAACTGCTGTTTTATACCATATATTTTCTGTTATAGACAAAACAGCATTACATCCTTAAATACATAGCAAGATACATAATCATCATCTCCATGTCATCACCAGAAATCTGACAATTTTTGATTTTGAAGTGCCACGCTGTCTCCTTCCTCTTTGTAGGCCAGTCAGGACCGTATAGGTCAGCACAGAGAAGTGGCTTAGCAATAAGTCATGTTAATAGACAGTTAGGTTGCATTTTACCAGGGCTGGATCCTAGTTTGAGAGCAGCATGTGTGTCTGAATGTTAGTTTCTCACTGATCTAAAGCCCAGCAAAATGCACGTGAATCTCAAGTCAGGATTTCATCATCATGTAACAGTATTGTGTCAAAACATATCCATCTTCAGGTGTTCAAAGCTGTTAATAGCAAAAGTATTCCTTTTGAAAATAAATTACTTGGGACTAAGTAGTTTATCAGAGAACAAAACCAATAAAGTATGACGAGATGAAACAAAGAAATCCTCAGATTCGCAAACGCTGTGCGTTTGTCAGACCTATTTTTTATTATTTTATAAGCATCAGACAACTAGGCATTAAAGCAACTTACTGTATAAATTATGCAGAGTTATTTTCATATGTGACACAGTATAAAAAGTCAAGAGAATTAATACGAGTTGACCTCGGTCAAAAATGCAACCTTTAAAGTCCATTTCTGCTAAGTAGTTTGTTCAGCATTTTTAAGCGTTTTTATATCTGTACATTTGGGCAATACATTTTAACATTTTTGTTTTCTTTTAATTGTTATTATTTCTGAAATTCGGCTGTAACATCCTGAGTGCCTTTATGCACACAAGGTATTTTCTTGTATCCCCAAAACCACAAATGCCTGCTTGAATCATAATCCAATAGCCAGGGATTCCTTTACTCTATATGCAACATGTGATTATGATGGTTCTTTTCCATTGTGAATCACCTTTTATGCCAAATGGCCCTGGAATTGGTGGCTTTTCCTGTGCATTAAAGAATTTCAGGTATTTTATGCAAAATAATACAAACAGTATTAATATCCACAACCAGCTTCTCCGGAAAAATTATAGCTTTAAAAACAACAAATAAAGAGGGAACATGTAATTTGTAGCATAAAGAAATTATTCAAATGTACCCTTACTTTCCATGTTTCACAAGCATTATCAATGAAAAGGGATCTGTGCTACTTCGTATATGCAATGTATTTTGGATATCAAATATATATATATGTGTATAATTTTACAATTAACCAATGTATTATTATTATTGTCATTCCTGCAATGTATGAAGTAATACCTTTTGAAAAAGGACTTTTGTATAGGAAAATGTGACAAAATAAATGTTTTTACCTCTCATACCATTCTTCCATTGCCTGAATACTGGGACATATAAAAACAAGCAAGTGACTTGCAGATTTTGTACAATACTTGATCATCGTGTCAAAGTTTGACACACTATTTCACCTCAATTGTGTGACAATCATTACACTTTATCAGTGTGCATTGTTACTTAGCCTATTAAGGGAACAGTAATTCCCTTATCCATAATTATTGCACAAACAAATGTCCTTTTTCTCCAGCAGATAGAAAACAGCTTTCTGCCCAACACAAAACATTGTTACACTCTCTCTTTCATTCACATGTGTTTTACAGAAAAATAAAGTAGCTGTTACAGTTTGTAGATAGACAATGCTCTAATAGTCCTGCGATAAAATCTACCTTCATTAATGTTTTTCATTTTCATTTTTTTTTTTAAACTGTTGATCTTGATTCAACTTTATGATCATTTTTGATAACCAGTGCTATAATTGTGGTGGTACTGTTATTATATGTTTATATTGCATTATACTTAGATGTGTTTCAACTATTTGTCCACCCCAATTACCAGATATTAATGATAGTATTAATTGGCTGTACCTGACAAATCAGCAGTTTTGAAAGCAGGTAAAGCCACAAGCTGTGACTGGACTTGGTACATTCATTTGAAGTCAGCATTTGACTCTTTATGTCATTTACTTCTCTTTTTGAACACAGCTTCAGATGATAGGTGGTGGCAATTTAACAACCTGCATACATAGTGTCCGTGTTAAGGCAGCTACTGCCTTGCAAAGTGCTCTGTTAGTTTGCATGAACCATGTAGACAAAAATATGTATCATAGACACAGATAAAGCCAGCAAGGGACAGTTGTGGACTAAATATAATTGTGAAGCATGTATCATCTTTATGCTGCTTAGTAATTCTGCATATGTGTAAATAATAGTCATAATCTTTAACCTTATCAATTGCTACAACAAAATCTCTTGGTGCAGACACACACACATTAGACTCTAAGCAGCTGGTCAGTGGCGGGTCCACTTTACCAAAACCTGTTGAATCTTCATGCTAATATATGTGCTGCTATTTCCCTAAATGGAGAGTTCTGGTTTCATGTTCAGAACCTGCAGGCAAAATAATGGGCAGTAAGCAACATCTCTCATCTCCCAAACACTTCCACTCTGTTGTGTTTGGATCCCTGTTTGCTGTCACAACTTCACTTTGTTTACAGATGAAAAGCTGTGATAGGGGTTGGCACCTGTCATTATGTTGCTTTGACCTTTTTGATCACAGTCCCTATGTGACGTTCCGGTTCAGAGAGTAATGCGACAACACAGAATTTTTTTTTTAATGCAAAAATAGCCTTTATTTCAGTGTATTTTCCCCCTGAGATCAAATACAAAAAAAATAACTTAACAAACAGAACTGATTTTCCTACTATGTCAGAGCTGTATGCAACCATATTTTAAGTGTTTCATGAGAGCTTTTTCTCTCACAGTGTCTTCACTCAAGAAGGAAAAAAACAACTACATCACCCACTTTTTAAAAAGAGTGACCCCTGAGCCCAACCCTTTGCTAGTGCATTAATAGCAGAACTCTAATGGTTCAAGTCCAAGTGTCTCTAAGCCTACAGTAGCATGAATTAATAATAACAACCACTTTAGCTTTTTCTCACCCATGACAATAGCATGACCCCCCAACACTGGTCCCTCAAGTAATTGTAAGATTTACACACATTATAAAACATATGCCTGGTTGCCTGCCTGTGGATACTTGGTAAACCCAAATTTGCAACGCCAATTAGACTCACTCCATCTTCATTTAAAGAAAGAGCGTATATGTATAGTCCATGTGTGAGTAATTGGGAGAAGTTTGTTTTTCTGTTCTTGAATTGCAGCTTCACCATCTTACGTGACCTGGCCTCCCTTTTGAAAAACAGGTTTTTGATCAGCAGACAGTGACAGGTGTGGTTTTGCATACAAATGGTTCACAATAACTGTCCTGACCCACAGGTGGCTTTCTTATCTGTGTTGAACACAATAGAATAGCAAATAAGTAGGTTTACTTTACTTCATATTTAAATGCTACACAATGTGTTGTCTGCCATTAGGTGACTCCACCTGCCTCCAGCACCTGTTTGTTCTTTAGAGTCTTGAGGTGTTTATCAGTGAGAGGTACAAGCCTCCATCAGTCTCAGTTTCACTGTACACTGCACTGTATCCATCCTCTCACATTTTGGTGACATTTGGGGGATCATTGATATCGATCACCTCAAAGCCCTGGTTATCATGTCCATCTCTGGAATGGTGGTGATGACCCTTGATGTTGTGGAAACAGTAGGCACAATGTGCAGTGGCTACTGGCACCGCCTTGGAGAAGTTGGAGAAATCTACTCTGTACTTGCCCTCCTTGCTTCTGGAAATGATGGGCAAGAAGTTATAGCCCCACATGACCTCTTGAGGAATAAAAGAGGTCCGGACTTGGCAGGTAGAGCTGGTGGACTCTGCTGTGCCATCTAGGAAGACCACCAGCTCAAACTCTTGTTTATGTAGCGTGTCCACTGCCATCTCAAAGAAGGGACTGCTCTTGTCGATGACATGGTAGAGTGTGAGAGGACATATGAAGAAGAGGTTGTCTTTCCCAGCATCCATCATAAAGTCAATGTTTACTTGGTCCATGATGATTGTCTCCCCATCTGGTGTTACTGTTGTCCTCAGCAGCTTGCCATAGATCTGGCTTCCAATCATCAGGGTCTTGCGTAAGTTTGCCACCCTGATTGACAGGCAAAGAGAGCCATTTTTGGGGCTGATGACAGCCATGTCACTAAATGTGATGGTCTTAGCCCTCTTTTTGGGTAAAGAGATTTTGGACAGGATGACTCCACACATGAAGCAGTTGATAATGGCTCCGAGAAGGGACTGAATAATGAGAAGAGCCACAGCACCTGGACAGAAAGGGGTGAGCGCTCGGCCACCATATCCAATAGTTGTCTGGGTTTCAAGAGAGTAGAGAAACGCCGTGGTCAGTCCATCAACATTATCAACACATGGAGTGTGGTCTAATTCTTGATTTTGCCACGTCAGGTCTCCATTACTGCGGGCAATCCAGTACCACAGCAGGCCAAAAATGAACCAGCTGAGGGTGAAAGAGGCGATGAAGAGTAAGAGGACAAAACGCCACCGGATCTCCACAAACGTGGTCCAGAAGTCAGCCAGAAAGGCAAAGTGATTGCTGTAATGGATGTTTCCATATTCAATGTTGCAGCGACCATCTTTGGTCACTAATCTGGTCCTGCGGCATCTTCGGTCCGCCAGCCAGTCCTGGATGCGTTTGTTCATAAACCCAAACATTTTCTAAAAGCCGACGCCCTATAAGACAATGAAAACAGGGATATAGCATGTAAGTATATAGTAGAAAACTCGCCATCAAGCATTTGTGTGTGCAAACATTTACTTATAATTTCCTTAATGACAATGCAGTCATAAACAACTACAGGAATACAAACATTACTGACAAGATAACTTGTCCTAGCAGATGAAACTTTGGACCAAACTAAGTTTTTAAAACCCCAGAAATGGCAGATAATGTCTATAAATCTGGATCACAGTTTGATGAAAAAAGTTAAATATAGAGGTAAATATGCTGATAATATCTGCTTTATTTGAGTCTGGCCATTTAACCAGTCAGTCAGTCACAGGCCCTCTCAAATTGTCAACCATCCTTAAATACTGTGATTCACTGCAATCAAACAGCAAAAAACTAACAAAATCAAAACAGCCTATCAGGTGCTGAGAGGGAAATGTAAAAACAAGGATAAGCTAGTACTTATTGTTCCAATAAGGATGAATAATTTATACGCACAGTAAATGCTTTACTGCTCTTCCCAGATATCTGATTCTCACTGTGGACTGCTTATGCACAGTCTCACATGTTCCAAGCTACTCTGTCTCGCTGCTTTAATCCTCACTGAAAGGCTATAATCCTGGGTGGATGCAGCACTGCAGTAAAGACATGAAGTTAATGAGAAACAAAAGTTTCTGAACTGTAACACATAGGGCTCCAAGTAAACCAAATAATTTTGGATCTTTGGTCCCATGCAAGTGTCTCAACACAAGGATCAGCTTTGTTTGCTCGGTTTCAATGCTACAAAAATAAACGTGGCATAAAAATAATTTGTGCAAACCCAGCCAGAAGGCCAGCTGCTCATAGACATAACAATCTTTGACTTTATTCTAGCTCTGAGTTCTCATAAGTCTGGTGCTTGATGGATGGCAACTGGCAGTATTAGCTATACAGAGGTTTCCAAATAAGTATGGCCTCTGTTCTTGCCAAGTCATGCAAACTACCCATTTGGATCATGGCGTGCTTGTTAGTGAGTGTGAAGTAGTACAAAACGATCAGTGCAGTGAGTTAATGTTTTTGTTTTCAACCATCTAAGCTCACATCCAGTCATTTTGCCAAAAGAAATCTGATAATCACACTGTAGAGCTTGTTTGCAGACTTTCATCCCTTTAGAAGTAAACCTAGTCATTCTACACCTAATCATTAGGTCAGTCTGTTTTCATACTGTAACAAGATATGTGCTGGAATGATTTCAGGTGTTTAGCATTTTAATTGTGTGTATGACAAGTTACTCTAAATTATTGCTTTGCATTACAAAACAACTACCTTTATAAATGCAAATTGCCAGTGGGAGGAAACCCTCCTCTTGAGGACCATCCACAACATACAGGACATAAAACTTTAAATCTGAAAGGCCTTTACTGCCATGGCTCAGAGTCAAAGAATAATCAGTTAAAATCACAGTTAAAATGTAATAAATCAGTCAAATCATTTCAAGATTAGCAATTCATGAATACAGGGGTATTTTTGAGGACAAGCACATTTTTTGAATTGCATTTGACTTCTTTGTTTCACTGACCCACTCTAATATAAATAACTATTTAATCATACTAGAAAAAGTTAAAAACAACTAACTAAAAAAAAGAAGATATAGGCTAGTTAAGTAATAGTGCTGCCTCTATTGCATTAATTACTATTATCACAGATAATCAATATTTGACTATGTATTAAGTGTCCATTATAATGCTGTATGAAACTATTTTAGGCTCAGTCTAATATGAGTTAATGAACTACTATTTTCTACTTTCATTATTTGCATCATTAAAGTGGCTTGTGACTGTAACATAATTCCAACTACAACAGGGATTTACTTTTGATTTAAAAGGGAGATTACTGGAATAAGACTCTAATGAGTCCTGACTCCTTATTTGTAATAAATGCCTTATTTTGTCAATGAGGTACAAACCAGCTTCATGAGCTAATATATAAAGTTAAAAAAAATAATTAACAATCAATTTATTTGTAGCCTCTTTCCTTTATTTATATTTATTTTAGAAAACAGTCACAGTGACAAACTTATTCCCTATGAAATGAAATTAACTACTCACACCAGTGCTAACAATATCCTTTCAACAATGTGGTCATAGCTGATAAAAAAAGGTCACCATGAAAGGGAACTTTCTTCAGTCTAAACTCACCTATAAGAATTGAAGATAAAGTAGTTAGATGCACATCCAGAGGTTAATGAAAAACAAACTCCAGCGGGACCTTCTTTCCTCTCCCTCTGTTTTTCTTGCTCACAGTTGATTGAAACAGTTTAGGTGTGTCCTCCCCTTATGCCCGTTCACCAACACCTGTACCTTTATACTGTCCTGTCTCTGTGTCCTGGAATCAGCCAGGTGATGTTTACGCCCACAGATACATCAAGTACCCCTCCGCCCACACACACGTGCATACCCTTCCCCCGGCTCTAATAAGCTGTTTACCCCACAGACGCCTGGCACCAAGGGCCACGCTGACCTCTATCCGTCACACTCCCAGTTCACTACAGTCTATGAGGTGCTCTGGATTTACTGTTGGTTGATTCTATTTTGTGATATTTGAATTTGAGCTTTTTTGCAGTTGGATTCACTCTAGAAAAAAAGCCAAGTGAATACTGCCAGTGTAAAAGTAAAACCTGCATGTACTGTATCTGTGTATGGTTCCGGTTCTCTGCGTCTCAGTGACGAACACACTGTGTGGCATTATTTACTGTAGACACACATGCACGCACATTCACTTTTATTGGCATTTTGTAGGGAAATAATATTTTTTCTTTTTTTCCAGTTCTTGCCAGTGTTTGGCAAGTGCAGCATTGCATGTCTGAATATGTGACCTGCAAGGATGATTAGAATCGTTAACACTTTGACAGCTTTTCATTGCCTGATATTAACATGATAGTAATCTTGCCCTTGGAATACTGTGTGTTCATGATAGAAAAAAGCACAAAACTCACTTTTGTTTATGCATGAGTTCCTCCACTCCTCTGAAAATGATGACCATAAGAATGTGTTTAACACATTCCCGGGCACAATGTTGTCACCATGAATCAAACATCACTGCTTCACAGCTCAGCACAGCACAGTCGTCTTCCTCCAAGCAACAAACAATTTCTCCTCTCCTCCACAACTATAGGGCTGTGTTGTGATGAAATATGGGGACCATAGAACATAAATAGGTGATAGGGTGAGACAACAGAAGCAGCTGAGATGAAAAAGACGATGTTCAAAATCCAAACTGATCGCTAACTGATCGCTCTCTCTGGGGTCGGTCAGGAATCAAATCAGTCCATGGGCTGAAGATGTTCTGAATGCCGAGGAGAGAAAAGTTGTGAATTGTGATGGGTGTCATTTTTCAGCTCTATTGTTCCAAGCAAGAGTTACGGAAAAGGCTGCAGTATTACCTTTCATGCTGCAGAATGTGTATTCTATTGACAGCCACAATACTTTACTGTTGACACACAACAAGATTAGGCTTGCCTGCTTTCTTCTAAATTCATGCTATTGTATAAGGATGACAAGCTTTTTGTAATTAAGCTTTTTTTTATTCAAGAGAGGATTTACCTGTTTGTTTAATCAACTCTCTCTTTTTTAATCCTTTTTGTATCTGACAAAAGGCCAGCGAATAGCCACCAGACGACACAGCTGCATTGATTGTTGGGCTGGTTTAGCAAAAAAGAGCTATGGAGACTACATTTGATTGACAGCAACACAATTTGAGAAAATTGCTACCACTGAATAATAATGACAACACAACAACCACAGATAAGTTCTCCACATAGGGTGATGCCGTTTTAATACGTGAGGGTAGAAATATCAGAATAAATAACTAAATGTTCATTTCATCAGATTACAGACATTGAAATGTGGTGACCTTGATGAATAACATGCTATTAATATAGAAAGTACAACACTAATAATAACATGTTCAAAAACAGTGTAATAAGCAGGTATATAGTTGTGGTTTGTGGACGTGTAACACATCGTCTTGTTGAAAATTTTGTCAGTCAGAATCTATGAAGTGAAATAATAAGCCAAACTCTCAATTTAATTAACAAATATTTATTGAGAGGATTAAATACTGCATTAATGTATAAATGTACAATATGCAATACAGGCTGATGTAGTTAAAGTAGCTTTATAAGACCTTGTTTTACTTACTGCTGCAACTTCTGGTAACAAATGTTCATGTTTACCTTTGTACTTGTGTGACACTGATTGGTACTAAAACTCAACACTGTCATCGCAAGCCCTTACTGATAAGAAATACGTGTATGATGGATCAGTACTTAAGTACCTTTGATAACTAGATGTCTCAGAGTGATAGTAAACAATGGCAGTTTCTCTCCGCATCAATTGGAGCACTCAATTGAATAATGCTGGTTTCTGTATCAGTTTCTGTCAATCAGCTTTGGGGGCAAGAATTTACCAGCATTCAGTCGGTATGGCCTGCCAAGCTTCATTGCCTATGAGGTTGTAAGTACAGCAACAAAAAGATAACAGAGAAACAGATAGACACGTCTCTACACATTCGCTCTGCTCATACATACGAGATTAAACACCTCTTGCATGTCTTAATCTACAGATTACCTTTAAAATTCACTTTCACTGTTCAACAAATGATATGATATGCAAATGTATTTGTACAAAGTTAAACCTGATTTATTTTAACTAAATAAAATATTATTCTGGCCACTTGGTGGCAGCACAAACACGCTGTGGACAACACTGACATATTATCACCTTTTAAATTAGCAAACTTGTTAGCCAGCAGTTGCTCGTTTCCACATTTGGTAGATACAGGGCAAAGTTATTATTTGTTTAGTTGCAAAAGTAAGTCTCTCTCGATCAACTCTTCAGGGAAATAGCTCCTTAGCTACTAAATGTCCACTCCATTATGATAACCAGCTAGTTGTCTCTTTGCCGTTTTGTGCTGCAGGTAGCTCACAGTGGGTTTATCAGAGCTCGTTCACTGGAAACAGTTGCCTGTGATGGCTGATGAGAGCAATGAGAGTGGACCGTAAAGTTGCAGGCCGTGATACCAACTAGCTGAAAAACATTACGAAGCCCAGTAGAGCCGAGGGGAACTACAGAGTCGGATAGTCTTGACAGAGTCAACATTTATTTAAAAAGACTCAAAAGTTGTTAGCGGGCTCTACTGGCAGAATTTTCATAGAGATGTTTTAATTAGTGTAATAATAAATAATAAACAAAATGGACAAACCAAACACTTGCTCTAGATAGTGCCGTTGGCGAGTTTTTGCTGCCACCGTAGTTGCTTCTTCACACTTGCAAGGTGAGTTGGTTGCAATCTGCAACTTCACTGCTACACACCACTAAATTGTACACACTGATCCTTTAAAGTGGGAAAGAGTGCCCACACTTTGAACAATGTGCCTCTGTATCTATAAATAATATAAATTTAAGTTACCTGGATCTTTAGGGGCCCTCAAATTAACAGTTACACAAGTTTGGAAATTAATGGTCAATTGATGATTTAAATTGACAACACTTCTTAGGCAGTGAAATCAAGACCAGCCACCTCTTTTTAAGTCCGGTAACACTTGACCTAGGTCTTCCTTTGAAGCTGTTAAACAGTCAACATGTTGTCATGACCCTTTACGGCTCATTTCCTGCCTCACTTTAGTTGCTTTGTGGCTCCCTTTGCCTGGGCCACGATTGCACCCCCAACTTGAACTCATGCACAACTTCTGAGTAATTGATGGTGAGAGACATCAGTTTTATGGATTTGATTAGGCTATTCTATTTTGGGGTTTCAAGTAACCCACTACTCTTGCTGCTCCTTTCATGCCCGTTCCATTTACGCTTTCTTCCGTTTTGATTTTTCAAAAAGACTGTTCAGTTGCACAATCTGGCTGTTTCACAACAGAAAAAAAACAATGCAGTCAGAATTAATTATGAAATGTAGCCTTGAGCATTGGGCTGAAACATTTTAATTAATTCTGGTGTGAATAGAAATGAAGCCTTTGGTTTGTTCTTTGGGTATTTTTATTTTTTTTTTCCTTTTTGATTTGTGATTCAGGCGTCCATTGCAACACAGAGTTTTAACATTCACCATGTGGTTTTATATTCTATGATTTGCTTGGGTTGATCTGAATAGGTCTATACTTTGGGGATGATGGTTGTGTATGTGTGTGTGTGTGTGTGTGTGTGTGTGTGTGTGTGTGTGTGTGTGTGTGTGTGTGTGTGTGTGTGTGTGTGAGCAGAAAGGGTGAGGCGGCTGTACACTGATAGGCAGCCATTTTGCTGGGTCATCATGTCACTGAGCATTCATATTCCATATCCATCATTCTGAGAATAAAAATGGCAAAGTGCTAAATGCCAAGCATTGCAATCCCAAGCTGTGCAATGTGCTTGTAAAGCATTTGACTCTCGTGATAATACAAACATAAGCTGCGAAGCATTTCTCAGAAGATGTCTTGTCTATGCACTTTGCTGCCTTATTGTCAGCATGCCTTTGTGCAAGACCATCTTGTCTGTAAAATGCAGAGATAAGCATGCCAAAAAGGCAGATTGTTGTGATTATAATGATCTTAAGATATGTGCATCCAGTATTGGTGCCTTTGGGTACAATGTGCATATCAATAGAAGCCCATAGAAGAGGACTTTGCCTATCAGGCCTGAATGAGGAGCCTGGTTTGTGGGGATTTTCCACTACAGGACTTACAATTGCCCGTCCCCTAACTATTGAGCTTCATTAAAACTAATGCATGTTTTTACTATGCCATACTTCATCCCTTCATAACCACAGCTATCCTCAAAGACTGATATAACCCTATTGCTGCTCCATAAGCAGATGGTTGGGATGTGGGTGCAGTATGTGTACAGTAGGCAATGAAGTGTAAGATGTAAAGCATGCCATAAACATTTAAAGTACAGCCGAGTTAGATGTGTTATGCTAGGCTCTGGGGCGATGCATTTGTGTTATTTGTCTCTTTTGTTTCTTGAACACTGGGGTGTGATTCTATTTGCCCTGTGGATGTGTACAGTGACAAGCAAAAAGCTTAGGATTCACAACTAGTAATAGAATCTAAAATAATCTTCTAATTATTTTATGGAACAAATAAACAAATAATACACCCTTATATGTATATGTTGTCAATTGGATTTCATTTTATTGTACGGCATGACTTCATACGATAGTAATTGAGTGTTGAGGTAATTTTGAACTCGACTCAATATTCTCATGTCACATCTTGTCTTTCTGTCACATACACCATCCACTCAAAGGACTTGAGCCTGATTAAGCAGCCACATAGCCTGAATCAGTAACTCAATGAAAGGGAAAGAAAATACAAAAACCCTCTTAAAAGCTTAAAATCACTTCTCTCACTAACCTTTTTTTCTCACCCAGCCACTCTGCAGCTCGGTCAGTGGCGTGTGTGGAATGAGTGCAAATTCAATTCTGTTAGATGTAAAGTGACACCTGGCGACAAAATCCACAAGAGAATGCGGACCTGTTGTTCCACTTGAGGGATTATATCTTTTTTTTCAGTTGTGGACACAGCCACTATATCACCTTTCATGTTATTTCATTATTTGTATTTCATAGATCCTCCAAATAGGAAGAAAATGGATCTTTATGTAAAGGCTAAGCTCTGCTTTGCAGTGGTTCTAATGGCTGCCTGACAGCGCTTCCCTGCATACTGAAAAAACAGCACTATTAGAAGAGAAGTGTCTCTAAACTTACATATTAAGCCCTTGAATGTCTTTCAGCTTGAAGATACCATAGATCTCAAAAATCTGTGTGCGTGCAGGGATACAGGCACACACGACTTTGTCTTTCAGTGAGAACTCAACCTGACAGCAGTTCCCTGCAGACTATATTTTTAACACATAGCCATTAGAGGAGGAGGTTGCTTTAAAGCATCGGTGCCAAAGCTTTTTGACATTGATGGTCTTGGACTGAAGCTTAGCATAGACTATTAGAAAGAATGGGCCAGTGGGCAATGGACTGAAAAAGTTGAGTGGACATTTGCTTCCAAGGCTTTATATTTCCATGAATTTTTCCCCAAATTATTTCTTAAAAATAATTTAATTTAATAAAAGATTTATGTCTCCCTTAAGCTATTTAGAGAGTAACACAACTGGCCCTAGTTTGGACGTAAATAAACATTCTCTCACCATAAAAAGTCCTCAATGAAATAAAGATTCCTTTTTTTATTGTCAATGAAAAAACAATCCTCGGTTTATCAAGGTGATATCACTGTTGTCGGTCTTCACTGAGCATGCCACATCAACCCACTGCGATGGACAGGATTTCCCACAAGATTTAGAATAAGCTGTGCATTTTGCAAGTGGTGACTAAGATAAACAAAAAAGTAAGGGAAATTCAAAGTATAAAGTTGGAGCTCTTGATTTCAGGTAAACAGAGCAAGCTGAAAATCTACTCGGTTTTGTCAGCAGTCATAAATTATATCAGCTACTTACTACGTGTAGCTATAACAGAAAGAGACCAGCCGAGAGATGCTGCTCCAACCTGCTTCAAACTGTCAGGAATTGATGGATTGTGACCAATAAAAAGCAGCAATCTGTTGTAACATTATTGCAGCCAAAACAATTACAAAAATGTCTCATCTGATCTTGAATGTGTTACTGTAAAAGAGTTCACTCCTAATACCAGGAGAGCAAAGATTAAAGGATGCTCCCCAGATAGTAAACTTCTTCCAAGCACAGTGCATCAGTCATTAATTATGTTTAATCACTCACTGCTATACCTCTTTCCTCCACATAGTGTCGCTGTGCCTGGACTGCATAGTGATGTCCAGGGAAGGCTCAGTCAAGATTAATTCACCCAGTTCAAAATAATGCAATAAAAACAGAGCATGCATGGTTGATTCTTTTGACATGATATGGACACAATGGCATATACATGGCGAAATATTAATTTACACTGTGGATAATGAGATTTACCCCTGTCACATCATTCCAGCTACAGCATTGTTAAATATAAATATATATGAATATTTGAATCTATTGAGATATAATTCACAATAACTCTGGTAACTCATTCAACATTAACCTGCAATACACAGTAGGTTAAGTATGAATCTGTGTAAATTTGAATATTGTTTTTGAGAGAGTGTTTATCACTGGAAATGATCTCATACAGTGCCTGTATAGACCTGCTTTACTTCCACTGTAGATACTTCAGCATTCTGTGCACAAGATGAAAACATGGTACAGTATTTCTAAATTATGTATTCACATATAACAAGCACAGTGCTACGCTGTAGATCTTCACACTCACATAATTCATAATTTAAACACTAATAGGTGTACTCACTCACTCAGTTAAGCTTCCTTTTAAATTACATAAAAATAAGGATAACTGTTTCTGCTATGCTCTTAAATCCTCATTTTGTTTTCAATACAATGAATAATGTGTTAAACTAATATGCTGACACTGATACATTTTTTAAAGATAAAGCTGTACCATCTCGCTCAGATAGATTGTTTAATAATTTACACATTTTCCATTGCAAACATATCTTGCCTCTTCAGGCATTCACCAGTTCTTTATGCTCTTAAATGCTAGTCTTTGTGTAAAACCAAATGCAGGCACTTGGTTTAACAGTTAAATATTTTAGATATTACCATACAACAGTGCACCATATAGCCTTTCTGGAAAACCATTCAATACTGAGACACATTTGTTCAGGTTCTTAAAGCCACTGGAAACCAAAATCACCAATGTTATTTAGGTTCTTATGTACAAAATAGTAAGCACCTAAAAAGTATTAGAGTAGTTTCAATCCAAATTTAAAATATTGTCTATTAAGTTTTTGTAAATTTTCCTGATATTGGGTTTGAACTGGGAGTGGTTATGAAAATTACGCAATTAATTTTGCAAACCAATAAAAAATCACCAAAACCTTTATGCACCTGCTCAATCTGCCTATGTGAGTCTGACACCTTCACCCCACATTAAATTATAAATGTGCACCATCTTTCACTCAGCTGTAACTAAGGTCAGCCTAATTGCATTGTTAACCCATAGTGAAACACACTTCAAACTCAACAAAACTGTCTTGGTTAGTCTTTTCACTGTTCCAGCAATCACCAACTTTGGCTTAATCAAAATAAATCCTTAATTCCCCAAGTGAACTGTTTTCTCCAGTGGCTCTCTCTATCTGCTGGCCTCTTCCGTCACAAAGGTCCATCTGATGGCAAAGTAAAGCAGTTAAAATATATACTCAATATAGTGTACACTTAAGCTGATCCACAGCAGTACTCCTGTCCTGGGGAGATGTCAATCAAAATCTGCCACGCCTACACAGTCTTGGTAAATGGTCTCAACAGCAAAATTGGCAGTATTTCTTTCTTCTAATAATTCTGAATGTTTATTTTCAATCAGATTTTTGTGGATGCTTAATAAGACACTCCACTTTGATATCACATCTGCATTCTTACTATTTCAAGTCTCATCTCCAGATGCTTTGAAGAATTTATCGACGCACAGACACCTAACTTTCTCCATTATGATCTTGTAGTGATATGTTTACTGTGGTCTTACTGGGGTCGTCCTCTGATTTCCATTCCTGCTCTCACTTGTTCTGGGCTGCTAGTAACAGCTCAGTTCATTGCGGTGCCATAAGCTCTGACAAGAGGATCAATCAGAGCTAATGAAGCCTAGGAGGAGGTGAGAGAAAGCAAAGAGGGATGGAGCCAAAGGGGAATGAATGGGAGAGTAAGGATGAGGGGTGCGAGGTGTAGGGGGAGGAAAGACAATACTAGAGCCAAGGGAGCAAAGAGAGGATTAAGAAAAATGACACTTCCTCCACACTCCAAGGAAGAACTAATTCCTCTCTCCTCAGTTATGACCCCTGAAACGATCGTTTCATCACCTGATAGCCATGGCTTTGCTTGGGGTGTTTAGGATGAGAATCTACACTGACCCACTGGTCAGCATAATGTGCAAGTCAGTTATTTACATTATGTATTTCCCTTTTACAATCTCTACTATTTATATCCACAGTCAGCATGGGAGATATAGAGCTTGGTTTATTTCATATTGATTAATATTAAATAAGTCTGACTCAGAACATATATCACACATCACTATTTGAATTGGGTGTCTTCACACTGTAGTTCACATTAACAGGATAATCCACGGTTTGATCATTCTTATGGACTGTCTATTAAAGGACCAATGAAGAGAATAGGTTGTGTAATCCACACCCCTTAACATTATGGAAATGGATTCTCACTGTTCAAAAGTTTCCTCCGAGCACTTGTGATAATGAATGTGCCAAAGAGCTTTATTAATGTGTGATGTGTGATTAATGTGAGCTGGTACAGTCAACTGAATGGATTTCTCCACAGGATGAACAGCAGAGGCAATAAGGTGGAAGAGGCTTGGCTTTGATCAATAATGGTGTGACCTCAGGAGGGGAAATAATTACAAATGCCTTGGATCTGAACAACTGGGAGCCACCAGAGGCTGATCCACACGCAGGATCCATGTGACGCCACCGAAGGACCTGAATTTTTACAATTAAGAACACCAACACTTCATGATCACTGCCGAGATTTGCACCGCTACCTCGGGAGGGGGGTGTGAGCGTGGCCCAGAACTCATATCCCACAGCCAAATCCCAAGCTCCTCATTATGGCAGCCTCACTCCTTGATGTTCCATAATCCGGCTGTCATTGGCTCCCCGGCTGGTCGAGGAGGCAGGAAAAAGAAGAACTATTTCCCAGCCATCTCGCTGTGCCCCTGCAACTCAGCAGGGGGAGCAAAGGGAAGGGGAGGGGGGCTACATGCAGTAACAAAGGGCGGCTGCAGAGTCATAAATCTCCTCCCAAACTCAATGCAGGAAGTACGTGAAGAGGCTTTCTGGTGATAGCTGCTTCTGTTGCTCCTCCCCTACTTATCATCATCTCCCAATCGTCTCTCTCTGTCTCTCTGTCTCTCTCTCTCTCTCTCCTTGCTCTCACATGCATTACTCCTCCTCTGTTATGTCAAGTCTACATTCAATTTACTCTATGCCTAATAACATCTCAATGTCAAGTATCCATCTATCTGTCTCTGTCTGTACTGTATGTCCTCTCATGTGCACATGCTTTGTGATCATAGGGACCACACTCCCCTGTGACGCACTCCATTATGCTGCTAAGCTATATGAAGTTTTAACCATTCGTTATGGGCATACTCCCCATCATTGCTGGTTGATGTGAGGCTAATGTAGCCAAGCTGAGGTTGGGCCTTCTATTCAGTTTATTCTGGACACATAATTTGTTGTTTATTAGGAAAATCACAGGGGAATTTAGTGAAAGTGACACAAAACCTGATTTACAAGCAAGAAATTCTAGGTCAAAATGTCCTTTTTCTGCTGTTTCTTTGTATTTACTCCCTTTTACCTCATCCTTTTTATTCTTCCCTCACACCTCTTTGTTACTTTCTTCCTCTTCCGCTCTTTCTTTGTCTTGCTCTGTGTTTTTTTCCCCAAATACTCTTGTCTCTGCTTCCACTTTATATCTCTTTCAAACCCTTTGGGCTTTTTCTTCAACTGCAGTTTTAGAGCAATTGATTATACCACACTCCTCCTCACCATCGCTCTTTCCCTGTCTGCACCCCTAACACGCACACACACACACACACACACACACACACACACACACACACACACACTCATCCTTCTCTCCCTACCTCTCACTGTACCACTGTACTTGACAATTCTACACATATTTCTATTTCTTTTTGCCTTTGCAGTAGAGAGAAGAGAGCCATGTGGTAAATGTATACAACACACACACACACACACACACACACACACACACACGCACGCACACACACTGATGCTGAGGCTCTTTGCAAATAGGCATAAACACACACTCTTGTAAAGGACAAATCCTGAGAGACAAGAGGTCCGATCTCTACGTGGAAGTGAGAAGAGAGGCGCATTCAAGAGAGAGCACACGCATATTTACATCCTTTCCATCTCTTCTCTCACCCACTCTGACTCTGCCTCTCTCTCTCTCTCTCTCTCTCTCCTCCTCCTCCTCTCCCTCTTTCCCTCTCACACACACACACACGCATACACATACACATACACATACACACACATGCACACAGACCCCCCTCTCACACAGGAGTAGATAGAGAGCGGCGAAGAGCAGAAGGAGCTGGGTGGCAAAAGAGAGGCAGGAGGGCTGTTGTTGATTGAACAAAGCCAGGAAAGGAGTGCGCAGTCCTAGGGAGAAGAGCAGCTGTGAAATGCCTCGAAGGGAGCCTGCCAGCTACTCCTGCAGAGACCTGAAGGTAAGCCTCGTGCACCGCTGATGGAGGAAAAAGCAGAGGAAGAGACAGAGAGAGGAAGGCAGAAAAAGGAGGAGGTTTTTAAAGCCGCTGATGCATGGTACAACCGTGGCTCCACGTACAAGCTGGCTTCTCTCAATTTGTTTGTGGATGGCATTGCATGCTGTGATTGCATTATGTGTTTCATTGCACAGCCACAAATTCCCTCTAGAGTGGCTTGCCAAATAAAAAGTGTGCATCACTTGAAGGAAGATCAAAAACTATGAGAGTCAGATAGCTAGAAACAGGGAGACAAGGACAGATAGCAAGAGAAGATGAGAGACAATGCAAGACACTTCAAGAGCAAGAGAGCAGGAAGAGGAAAGTGATGATGGGAAAAGTGGCTGGATTACCCTCCTCCATCAGTTACAACCTTTATCATCATATCTTGCCTCCTTCATCTTATGTCACTGCAGAGATACATAGATCACCACCATACATCTCCTTGCCCTCATAGCGGGAGCAGGGTAATCAAAAAGGCAATGGATTTCTCTGACGCAAGCAAAGAAAGCCTGTCAGTGCTCCCGCTGTTTGTGCACACTTGTGTGCTGTGCGGTAGTTCTCAGTGCAATGCAGGAGTTTTACAAGCGCAGCAGGAGCAGGAGCAAACCTGGCATTAATGTGCATCTATCTCTGTGTTACCATAAGTGCATGCATGTGTGTGTGTGTGTGTGTGTTTGAGGACACAGCGCAGCATGTTTCAGCCCTCACACGTTTTTTTCTACATTCAATAAAAGCAGGAGATAAAGCGGCGGACGTGTTGTGGTGATATAGTTGATGGCAGTATTTTCATGAATATTGTAGACTACACCAAAAGCATTGAGAGAAAATCATTTATATTGATTCCCCTGAAACACTCTCTCTGGGCTGTGGATTAGGGCTGCTAGCTTTAATGTCTGATGTACACTGCTATTTTCTCCTCTAGTAGCTGCAATTCAGTGCACTCATCTCGAGAGTTGTTGCTGTAAAACTTTGATGACAATGCAGTGGGCTCAGTAGCCACATTATTTTAGCACAGTTCCCCCAAAGCTCTTGTCCTCACTGGTATTGTCTCATCAGGGAATGCCAAAACAGTGTCAAGGCAGTGAGTGGACATTATTTTTTTATATCTGTGGAGGAAGTGCAAACCATCACTGCTCTCATCATTAACCACATTTTTACATATGGCACATTCTTAACGCAAACCCATTGGAGCGGAAGGAAAGGGAAAGCCTAGTCTGACGGAATGACTACTTAACACTAGCTTTGCAACAAAACCTGCCTATTTGCTACACTTCAGGCTACTTTTATCACTGTAATCTGCCATGACCCTGCTCACAGCTGATTGAACCGGGATTGCCTATTTAACGAGTGCAGAGGGAAGTGTGAGCAGCTAAGATGTAATGGTTTTTGATGGATGGCCTTTTGACCTTATTATCAGCGCTATCATTGTAACTGCAACTCAGCGCCGTGTTGTTCGCTCCCCTCCTGCTCAGTTATTATCCATGTCCTGATCTGCCTAACAAGTGGACAAAAGAGGGCAAAGGGCAGATGTAATGCTCAGCAGGAGACTCTCAAAAGAGAAGACACTGTGAATAATTAATTGGATCTGTTTATTTAGTCAAGACTGTGTGTCTCTGGAGATGTAGGGAAAGAACAGTTCTTCAGGCAGATCCCCCATTCTCTAATACCACAGCGGTGCATCTGTGTCAAGAGCTTAGCCAGGCGTGAAGATTCTTTTTTGTATTTAGTGCTCTGGTAGAGTACTGCATAAAAATACAGTATTTGTTTACAGGGCTGTTAATGAAGATCTTTTCACTTACACACTGCTGCATGAGTTGTTCTGCTTCACTTCTACTTCCCTCTATGAAAAATAACTTTGTGTATAATTCAAAAGTCGTAGCCTTACACTTTGTGAGTTGTTTATGAATACAAGCCAATCTCTTCGTAATGCATGAAACAGATAAGCTGCGTAAAATTTCTTACCCAATCTTGTCATCCCCCAATGAAAATCACTCTTTTTATGCCCTCATAAATCTGTAACCAATGCAAATTCAAGCCCCTGTGTTTACTGTATTTTAAAGTGTCACCTACGGTGCTTGTGTGCCAGATTTACTGTATGGTGCAACCCACTCACTGATTCAGCAACAACTTCACGACGCATGTATTTCTCCTACAGTCCTGTCACACATAAAGCTGATACAGTGCATGGTGCTGCTGCTCCAACCAACATGTAGCCCAAACAAACCTTCACCTTCTGTTTGGCAAAGAGATGACTGTTTCAGAGATCACCTCTTTGTTCTTTGTTTGTCTGTTTGTCCAACACACCTATACCAACACACATGGACATTAAAGTGTATATACGTGTGCACACATCCTGTCATGGATAAGAGATAAGGGCAGAAAATACAGTTTGCTGGCTCTTTGGAGTTTCATGCAGCTGCCTTCTGTATCTGTATAAGTATCAAAAAATAAGTTAAAATGGCTGCTTGTTCAGGTCACCTTGCTCTTACCATTTGTCAGCAAGAATGTTTATAGCTTTCAGGTGGTTTGGAAGGAATATTTTTTATGCAGCCAAACTACATGGTTATCAGAAAGACTATTATGATATATATATATATATATATATATATATATATATATATATATATAATCTGTCACAGATTACTTTTTGACAACTGTGAAAACGCATTCCAGTATACACCCATGTCCAGGTTGACAACCTCCCAAGAATATTCATAATGGCTCATGTTCTTATCTGTCAGCAGCAGGTTATGTGGAATGCAATGGAAGTTTTACAGTGTATCCTGCTCCTGGCTTAGCCAGTGGGGCTAAACCAGTCTTTATCTGGAGTTATTTAATAAAGGAGGATCTATTCACGAGGACCCCTTTGTTAAGCATGGCCACACAATGGTAGAGATGCATTGATGTCTCTTATCCAGCTGATAAGTATTCAGGTCAGGCTAGTTCCACTAAAACACATGTTTATGTTTATTGTGTTACATGATTCCTGCATTCATATACTACATGTACTTGTAAATATTATATTTCATATATGCAGGCTGATGTTGTTTAGTTGCTTATATGATTTAAAAACAAAAGCACCACAACCACAGTTACTTTAATTGGCCAGCAGAACAAATGCCCATGAACATGATTTGCCTACAGTGATACACGGACACACTAGCAGCTCAGCTAAATTCACACACTGATTCATATGGTGCAAGGACAATTTAGCTTCACATATAATGCAAATAGAGAACATTCACAACATGCACACCCTTCCTTTTGAGTGTTTGATAAACACGTGAGCTTACCCTGCAGTATCATTAAGACGTAGAAAGCAAACATACCTTTTTTTTTTTTTTTTTATTTTTTTACAGGTTTTACGTAAGCATCTATGAAGCGTGAGCATCCATCACCTGGGGGAAGCACATCCCTGTAAATTTGCACCTCATTAACATGGATAGAAAAGAGATACTGCATGGTTAATAAGGCCTGTAGAGTGACAGCATGGATTTTTTTTTTATTTGACATGCTTCTTTTAAAGATTGGTTTATTTTTAAAGATTAAGGGATGGCATGAACATAATCTTGCTTCAAATTCACACAATGCCATCTACTGACGGCAACAGAGGTTTAAGCTCATCACTAAAGGACACAGTGTAAGAAAATGCACTGAGCAAAGGGTTCTTTACTCAGCTCCTTTTCCAAACAAGCTGGTCTGAGGATTTTTAACATGCAGCCTTGGGGTTGTAATCTAATTTTATTCTGACTTGGCATGTGGTGACTATAGAGAAGGAGGAGGCTCCTCAAAGGGACAAGCACGGTGACACAGTGAAGCATGTCAGGAATCCCAATCAAGACCATTTGACCTTTGGCTCCTCCAGCATTCGCCATGCGCTGCTTGGCTCTGCAGCTCCACCCACCATGCTCATGCCCTCCCATCCTCCCCTGCTCTCCTGTCCTCTACAGTGAAATGGAGCAGAAGATTAATCACATTTGATGCAGAGGCTTTGTATAAGTGGATCTGATGTATAAACAATTAACATATTTGTTTGTTATAATATATTGTGAAATTATGCTATATTGCAGATTATTGAGCTCATCGCCGCATACTTCCCTCTCATTCCAATTTGTTCTTCCGCTTAGCCATCACTGCCTTCTAAGACAGAGTGGTGGCACAGGGAATCTGGGATCTAAAGCCGTAAATCACGGCAAGAGCCTGACAGAAACGCCTGATAAGAAAAAGAAACAGGGTGTTGGGGAACATGCCCAACAACCCAACCTCACACATCTCACGTCTCCTCCCTCTGTCTCTTTCCATCATGTCTCTCACGCTCAAAGCCAGCATGGTTGAAGAGGGTGTTATTTGGCTCCAGTAGGTGTTGGGTTTTAATCCCATCCAAACTCCACTCAGCAGCATCATCTTAGTGGTGGAGCGAGGCAGATCTGAAACAGCAACTATAATATAATAGCTATTTATGGCTTGAACAACTATACTTTTTTTTCTACGGGTGATGTGTGCAAAATGTACTGTAAGATGGAGACTGAATGAGGGACAGTAAGAGAGAGAGATGTGTGTGTCAGATAGAGAAAGAGAGAGAGGGAGAGAGAGAGAGAGTTGGACATATCATTAGGGAAATTGTTTCTCCAGTGTGAGTCGAACATCTCCGTGCAGCAGTGTCACTCCAGAGAAGGTCATCCATGAGAAGGACACAACTGGATACACTCAGCTCACTATCGGGGCATAAACGGGAGGGAGGGACGGTATGAAGTTTGTGTGTGTGCGTGTGTGCGTGCGTGTGTGTTTGCTGGGCCTGGAGCCAAACTAGCTGGGGACGTTTTTAGTCATTTGACCTGCCCGACCTCAAAGTGTCATAAGTGAGCAGAGATAGGGATGAAGCCATGTTATTTTATGGGCCAATCTTAGCCCAGGACATAATCATGACAGGCCGGTAACCATGACTCTTTGCTTTTTACTCAAGGGGAGGAGTGAAGGAGGGTTGGGAATCAAGGAAATAGAAAGTTCTAGTGCTTCCATGGCCAAGGAACTGAGACAGCAGATAAGCTGGAATGACTCTACCAGTGTAGGTATCTGATGCAGTGATTTGGTAAATATAGCTGCTCTTTCAATACTCTTAAAAGCTCAGCTGCAACCCTTATCTTTATTTTTTCCCCTTTCCCTTGCTCTTTTTCTTTTTCTTTTTTGCCTATTTTTCTCTGTTTCTCTTGTGTCAGCACTGTGTTTGATGAACCGACTGAAAACTGCAAGCTATGACCTCAAAATGTATGGATGAGTGCCCACTTATAGTCAAATTTGTATTGTAAACTCAGGGATATTGCTGAGTTTGCAACATCTTTCTGCCATTTGTAACCCTGTCATGCTCAGCGGGATAAACACTATTATCAGGTCAGAGCTTGGCACATGTTAGATACAGATTACTGCTGATTATTTTCCATTCCTGAAAAGTTTATAATTTGGAAATATGAAGCTTGTACCCAACAGCTGCAAGCAGCATTCTCAGCATTTGCAAAACAAGCACATCTGTGCAAATTTTAGGCAGGAAACAGTGTTTCTCCACAGGCTAGAAAAACTAAATTGATTACCTCCAGATAATGGGAAATAAAAAGGTAATTCACTGAATGAAACAGTTTACAATTATGTTGATCAAGTGAGAATTATAATTCAGGTAATTAATCTGTTGCAGGGGCTTTATTAGAACAGTGATTAGTATTGATAAAAACCTTCTCTTGGCTCAGCTCCAAGCCAGCTCTTACCTTTCAGAACTGCACACAGAGCTGACAACACAAGTTTCTGAAGTTCTGAAAATGGAGAAAATTAAATCATGAAGCAAGTGCTATTCACTACAATGCTGGCCCTAGGGGGAAATTATAGAGCTTGCGACAGGTTAGAAAGGAGAAAAGACACATTTTGCTGTGCCCTGTGCAGATTATTGTTTACAGCGTGCAGTGTCAGCAAATAAGGAAAATATATGTCCTGTAGATATCCCTTAGGAAGCAAGTTCCCTGGTTTACTAGTACCCCTTGGCTTTAAGCACAACAGATGAGTGCTCTTGTTATCAGGACACAAACACAATTCAGCCAAAGCATCCTGTCACTCTCTCGGTAACAAGATAAATGCTTGTTACCCTCTTAAAGCGCCAAGATAAAACACCCCAGCTGGTATCCATGTTCGAACACCTCCCATTTGGGCTTGTTGAGTCTGCTGCTGTGAACAGACACCGCAATCACAGCCCCGCTGAAAACACACACAGGTCTGGAGTTCACAAATCTCCAGGGAGCCATGTTTAATTCATGAGAGAACCTAAAATGAGTCAGAAAGCGAGACCTTGCAACCCCTTTAATGTATTCAGTGAGGTTTTTCGGAAGCTTTGTGTGTGTCCCGCGCCTCTGCTGTCCGTCTGTCTGTCTTTTCCCTACTCATATGCATGTCACGTCACTCTGCCCTTTGCTTTGGACCATCAATGTCAACACTACATTCCTGTGTGGATCTGATTTGTGACGTGGTCCTCTCACTTCTCCACGCTCGCCTTTGCATTCCCTCTCCTTGCTTGTCAGCGATCAAATAGAGTAACATCAAAGACAGATGACAAAGAAATGTCAGATGTTGTTAAGGTCAGGAACCGGTGGCTAAAGTAATTTACCCATGTTCTTTTGCTTGGTTGGTTGCAAGGCCCGTGTATCCCTTGTTCTTTTAGTAAATTAAAAGTAGTTGATTTTCAAACAACACTCAGGGGCTCCATAAGTTAATTGCCTCTTGTGGAGCTCCAAAGGTGTTGTAAGATTGCTGCTAAAATTAGGGCTTTATCTGAGCCCCCCTCCAAACTCACACTCCCACTCCCCCCTATAAGTATAGTCAGTGGCTGTTATTAAATCCCACATCATTGAAGAGACATTGAAAGTGCTCCTATTCTATTTCTCCTTTCACTTTGTTCCTCACATAACTGATGTTTAAAAATACCTGTTTCAGCACACAACTCAGGAGCAGAGAAATGCTCTTTAAAATCACATCACATAGTGTAGACTGCCAGCACATCACTCCAGTGGAGCTAAAAACAACCGCACAGATAATATGTATACTTTTTTGGTTTTATATTAGGTTAAATGTAAAAAAAAAAAAAAAAGCCAACTGGATTTTCTGAGGCAGTTAGTATTTATTTCTTTGTCTCCAGCCGATTAAGGAAGCAATCACTGCCTCTGATCTGACGGATGGTGTGGCTGTGGTGGAGCAGTGTGAGAGCTTTGCGTACACATAGAGAGTTGTGTGTCTGTGTCTGTGTGTGCATGTGGCCATAAGTAGTTGAGCAACTGGCAATGCTGGCAATGACAAGCTTGCTCTTTGGGAAAATGACGTTGTTAAAAACACAGCAGCTGAGCCTGCTTCATTGTACAGGCAAATTAGCCAGCAGTGGACACTGGGTCATCTCCCATGTGATATCAGCTAATCCTTTACTTAGGTCTTCAAGTGCTGAAAATGCTGCAAAAAATACTTTTTTTTTTTATCCTATTTTATCATATTTGTGTATACTAGTATAGTAGGGACATGCAGCAATTGTATTTCTTTCATCATGATTACTGTACACATGCGGACAGGTCTGTCAGATGGAACTAGATTTCCTAGCTTTTAAAAATTGATGTATTCTTCCCCATAAACAGAATGCTGTGAGTTGTGATGCTGTGGTCATATTTAACTTCAAATATGGGTTAATATTTTAACATTTATCTGTTAATATTTAATGGAGCATGATTTTTTTTTACAGGGAAAGCTACAAAGGCCATTAATGGCTGGTGCTCTATTCACGAATATGCCAAACCTGTCTCCAAAACAAATTACGTACAATTCATTTGTTTTGCCAAACACATTTTAAGGGAAACATAATTCCTAGAAGTGTTACTTTGCCATGTGTCACATGTGCTACAACCAATGTGTGGTTAGGTTTAGGCAACAAAAGCACAAATCCTGTGTCACGATTCAAGTCAGTGATGACCACAATTGTTCCCTAGCTGTTTATGCTGTTTGAGCATAACCATAAAAAACATTCTTCAGTTGCTTTGAGCAGATATTTTATTTTAAGTGTGCATATTCTTGGGAAAAGTTAAATACATTGTCGGTAAACTTCAGTATCAACACATTAATTATCAACATTTTGTGCTCATTAACAAGAGTCTACAGCAGTGACATGCACAAAAAAATGCAAACGTCTTTATCTAGAGCCCGTGTTTGGTTTGTCTGTTCTGGGCTACAGAAACATGGTGGCTTCAAAAAAGGCAACCCATGGTGTCTGTAGATAAAAAACGGCTCATTCAAGGTAACGAAAACACATTGATTCTTATTTTTAGGTGATTATACACTAATTAAAACATACCTATGGATATTACATTGCATTCCTGCCAATAGATCCTCCTAAATGGACCTTTAATCACAGTGGTGCTTTGAGCAAATGTCTGCATGCTAACATGATATTGACATTAACCTAATGATGGCACTAGATGAAAAGTCCAATCCATGCAGTAGTTGTTGAGCTATTTAAAAAAAATAATAATAATAACAATGTCAATCTTATGGTGGTACTAAAAGAAAGTTCAGGGGATATCATTAATGCCTGTACAAAATTTGATGCCAATAAGTAGATATTTTGTTAATTAGTGAAAACTGTATTAGTGAAAACATTGACCGGCTGGTGGCACTATAACAGAAAAGCCAGAGGATCATCAAGATTATTACAATATATCCTCAGGGGAACGTCAATATATAGCAAATTCAATGGCAATCCATCCAATAGTTGTCGAGATATTTCACTCTGAACCACAATGTCAAACTCATGTCGGTGCTAGATTAAAAGTCATGGGATCCCCAAAGTCAGGAGGAGTCATGAATGCAAACTCATGTGCTAGTTGCTGAGATACAGTCTGGACACAGTGGTGGACTAATAGACCTTTAGACTGATATTCACATGCTAATATATTTATTTTTATTAAAAAAACGTAAGGCGACAGGCTGATTTATGTAGTACATTCTCTCGTGACACCACCATTATTGTGGTGGGAGAGTTGAAATGACAATGGTTTCACCAAAGTTCGATTGATGACATTTGGCAATGGCTCTTTTTGACTGACGTCCACATTATGGATGCAGCCCCAGCTACCATTAATCTTCAGATTTATTTGTCTTGTGATTATTATGATTGTTCTCCATAAATTCAGGATTTTTTTGCATCGTGGTGATTTTTATAATTTATTAGAAATCAATAAATGATCTACAAGAAATATTCTTTCTACATTTATTTTATGTTCCCAACTTAAACTGTGCCTCTATTGAGATTAATTAATTTGATTTTAAGATACAACATCCTTTTCAAACACTCCAATGTTATTCCTCTAGTTGACAAGTGAGATGCAATGCAAACAGTAAGTTACCTGTAGAGCACCTGAATAACAAAATGCTTCACGCTATTTAGAATTTTTTTTTTACAGCCAATACAAATGCAAACATCTTACTCAGTTGAGGATCTGACCTTTTGAAGTGTATCTTTTGGGTTCTAATTACACCAGTTGGCTTATATTGACATTTAAATGACAGGTAGAAAATATTGGATCTGGGGGATTGCACTATACATCAACACAACATTGTTAGCATAGACATAATGTATGTACTTTTCAAAGAGGGTATCCAGTTTAGATAGCTGAGGGTTAAAGGTTAAAAGACCTAATGGATCAAGCTTGTACATGCACTGTAGCTTTGACCTCTATTCTCTGTTATATTGGGTTCATTTGAATGTTGGTGATCAATGAACTGCATCTCATTACAATATTTGGAAAATATGTAAGTTTTAAAGCCTAAATTTTAAAGACTATTTTACTTAATTCTGTCTTACAGGTTTTGAGCTTCAGCTGAGGATGGCAGGAGATTCCCGAATCCTCATGGACCACAACATGGAGATAGGAGTCACACCTGCACAGGTAAACTGCACAGCCACGACTTGTCAAACGACTATACTGCGGTCTTTCTGCAACTGGGAGAGAAAGCATGAAAGAGGATGTGAGAGTAAAGAGATGGAGAAGATATAGAAAGATGGGATGATTAGTAGGGAGAGAGCTATGTGTATGCGAAAGAAATACCAGGTGTCTATCAAGAATGGTGGCAATGAGGAGGATAAAAGGGCTGTTAGATATACATCAGATATGCTGTTTACCGATTAAATAAAGAGTGTGGATTATATATCAAGCAAGGTGTAACCAAGCCTGTTCCTCTAGCTCAGATAAATATATAGCTCAATTGACTTAGTAGCAGAGATAGAGAGACAGGGAAAAGACACCCCACTCACTCCCAATAACGGATGGTGGAGTTGCACTGGTTATCTGTCCTGATTCCCTAGCTGATTGGAACCTATACTGTCTACCGAAGCATGGCTAGAAATCCTCAGTGAGAGAAAACACCCACCGCTTACTACTGCCACGCAAAGAGAACTAATTAATTTGTTTATCGACCATCACCCCTACAGACTGTATTGACTACAAAGGCCAAAGATTGGGCAGCACTGTTTTGACAGCTTCATCTATCACTCAATTAACCCCGGCACAAAGCGTGGAAATGAACGGACCTATTTTGTCTGCCTTTCATTTAAAATCAGTGTAGTAGCAATTAACAACAATTGAAAAAACAACTATGTACATTAACAGATGAAAGTTTTATTCTAAGCAATGGTGAACTGAACTGACTGTGTTCTGAATCTGTATTTTGATCCAGTATCCCTGAGCACAGTTGGTAATAAGGGAGCCCATTGACATTTAGTGAATGCATTGTCATCAAGCCACTAATTGCGATGCCGGTCAATACGCATTGTCTTTCAATTCTTCTTTGTCGAAACGTTCCTTAAACAGGGATCACTTTAAATCAATATCTGCAAACTCAATACTGTTCATGCAGGCCTGAGCAAATGTGCACACACACAGAGTAGCAGTGAAACAGCACCTGACATCTCAAGGAAACTATCCTGAATAAACCTGTCCGACAGATTTTATTATCCTGGCACTACAATCGAAGGCACTGCAAGGATATTGTTCTGCTTTAGATTATGTCCTTTCCAGGCTGGACTGTGAGAGTGATCGGCTTTGTGATAGAGCAGAAGAGCAGTCAGTGTAACCACAATAGGGCATAACTTTCCTGGTGTTGTGAGCATGACTCTAGAGAGAGATGGATCACAGGTGTCCGATTAGCAGCGAGAGATTCAGAGGACACAGGGGCTGTTTTCTTGCCTCAACACAATGCATTTCAATTATCATCTCAGATTGGAAAGTGTCAGTGTGCTGCCAACTTGCCCTTGGTCTGTTTGAAAGGTGCCTTGCAACTCTGTCCTCCTGTATGTGTCTTTCTGTCTGTATGTATGCATGTGTATGTCCAAAAAGACAGCCAAGCAACTGGCAACTGGATTTCCTGTGCACTGTGGCACTCATTGTTCAAATATTCTAAAATATACAATATCAGAAGCCTGCATGTACTATATATGCATGAATGCCGGTTTCTAGATAAGTGCAAAGTGTGTGCCCAGGCATATGCCACTCTGTTTAAGTATGCCACAAGGCTCTATTGGGGAAGGATGGATGATCTGTTCCTATCCAGGCCTGCCAATGTCCCAGAGGGTGCGAGGGGAGGGGACACAGGGGACAAGGAGGGAGACAGGGCACAGCTGTGGGGCCAGATCGCCTCACTGGAGCCGGGCCAACATAGACAAAGACCTGGGTGTCCTTGTGTTCTTGTTGTGTCCTTACTCTCTCTCTTTCTCCCTATATATATGTGCATAGACTGTCACCCACAGTGTCATTGTGGAGTAGCACAGAGCAGTGACAAACAGCTCTTAATGTTATTTGCCTCCTCGCCAGAAGTGCAGAGCAATGTTTTTGCAAAGGCTGAAAAAAAATCCCATTAAAATGGTTAACACCTACATCCTCCAGTACAAACTCAATACAGCTTTACAGAAAATATTGAAAAGAAATCAGTGTGGCTACTGTAAAGTACACCCATGTGTAGAATAACATAAACTGCTACCATTCTTTCTCCCTCTTTCACTCTCCTTCCTCCCCTTGATTTCCCTCTCTTTCTCTATTTTTCCTCTTCCACATAGGTGAAGAAGCTTCCTAAACACTTGCGGGAGGCTCAGATCTCGACAGAGCGAACCCACTTGATTTCTGACCCGGCGAAGAAGCCACGTCAGCGATACGTGCAGAAGGACGGCAAGTGCAACGTTCATCATGGAAACGTGCAAGAGACCTACCGTTACCTCAGTGACCTGTTCACTACGCTGGTGGACCTACGCTGGCGTCTTAGTCTCTTCATTTTCACCTTGGTCTATGTAGTCAACTGGCTTTTCTTTGGCTTTCTGTGGTGGCTGATAGCACTCATCCGCGGGGATCTGGTGCATGCTGATGAGGAGGGCTGGACCCCCTGTGTGGAGAACCTCAACAGTTTTGTCTCAGCCTTCCTCTTCTCCATTGAAACAGAGACCACCATTGGGTACGGTTATCGTGTTATCACAGAAAAATGCCCTGAAGGTATCATACTGCTTTTGGTGCAGGCCATCTTGGGTTCCATTGTTAACGCCATGATGGTGGGCTGCATGTTTGTCAAGATCTCACAGCCAAAGAACCGCGCCGAGACCCTCATGTTCTCGCACAAAGCTGTCATATCGGTGCGAGACAACAAGATGTGCCTGATGTTTCGGGTGGGGGACCTGAGGAACTCTCACATCGTGGAGGCATCGATCAGAGCAAAGCTGATCCGCTCGCAGCAGACCAAGGAGGGGGAGTTCATTCCACTCAACCAAACGGACATCAACATCGGCTTTGACACGGGAGATGACCGGCTGTTCCTGGTGTCTCCGCTTATCATCTCTCATGAGATCAATGAGAAGAGCCCCTTCTGGGAGATGTCACTGGCTCAAATGGAGAAGGAGGAGTTCGAGATTGTGGTTATCCTTGAGGGCATGGTGGAGGCCACAGGTATGAAGGGGTGGGGTGGGGGTGATCAAGGGAGGGGGTAAAGAGATGGCATAAGAGGGAATGGGAGGACATATGGATGATGGGTAGATGGATAGAGAGAGACAGAGATTGATGAAATGTAGGATACGGGAAGTAAGCTGTGTGGGAGGGATGGGAAGATGGATAAATGGATGGAAAGACAGAAGAGGCTCACATGGAGGGATACATTGCTTATAAGAGGGGAGGGGCAGCCGTAAGTACCTGTAAGTGCTGCAGATTGCAAAAGATAATATTGTAATGGATGGAAAGACAGAGAGGCTAACATTAACAGATAATCGACTCTCTAAGTGAGACATGAATAATATTAATGCATTTCACTTCAAATTTAGTAATGGTTTTAATGAGAATTTTATTATGTCAGTGACAAATGTATTTTTGAGGAAGGTGGGTACTGTTTCTTTCATTAGTCCTACAACTGCAATTCTGTCTTCATCAACAAAACATTTCTACACAATTCCAAGTATTTGTTATTTGAAGCAGCCTCCTTAAAGCTGATCGTGCCACAACCGCCTTGCGGATGTTTTCTGTTCTCACTGCAGCCCGCATTTTCACTGTTGCTACTTCAAGGTTATGTCTTTGATATTGTTTATATCAAAATGAATGAAGTGTAGCTACCCTCACTGCTGGTCTATGTTTTGGGTAAAGGCCAAGCAGTCCTGAAAAGTGCTCCAGGCTGGTTACATTTATGAGGCAGACGTGACCAGGTGTTTCTGTAAAGTTCCACAAAGCTCCAATTTCCCAGCGTGATACTTAAATTGAGGCTGCAAGAGGAAAATGTAGCATCTTCAACCATTAAAATTAGATAACAGCAAATTATGATGTCTGTGTGACATACAAGGGATTTTTAAAAACAGTCGATTTATGATATTCAAAACATTTTTCAGTAACCTTGTATAGAACATAAATTATAAAGTGATGAGTACAGAAACCTTGAAACAGCAATTGCAGACAGCTAGCACTTAATTTGCTGTTCCAACTTGTTTTCTGTGGGGTATTGGCTAAATCAAGTATTGTTTATATGCCTAAGCTGCTTTGTTTATTGGCCTTTGTTCAAAGCGTAATTATAACCCACTCATTTTGAATACAATGCATTATACATGTTACTAATTTACTTTATTGGTTATCATTGTACTTTGCATCAGTAAATGAGAGACATGATTAGGAGCGTTTAGTACCGTGCACCCAGTTGTCTTTTTAAAAACTCGTACAAACCACTGCGCTCCCTAATGCGATCAGGCATGGCTTTGCATGCATCTGAACATTTCTGCTCTATTTGATTTTTTTTTTTTTCCCTCCAAAGCACCAGTAGTCATCACGCTTCCTGCTCACGCTGCAGGATACTTGACTCAGGCATTAAATCACCTTTCCCCGGCAGAAACCATGGCATCATGCAGGGGTTATTTAGTCACCGTCCTTGACCGCTAGGCAACAGACCTATCTGACCATCCAGTGACCCTCCCCCATGGCTACCCCTGTTAACCTTAATGAGACTTGTTAAACAGGTCACAAAGAGTGGGCTGGGAATATAAGGATAGCTCATGTTACAGTATTTTTAACCTTTTTTCCTAGTTTTTTTCCATCATTGTGTTGAGATCAGCTTTAACTAAAGTCATGCATGTGACACACACAGTGAAGTCAGGATGCTACTAATAAAAAACACAGTTCCACAAACTATTTGATTATAGACCGTAAAGGGTACTTTTGACTGATTATAATCATCATGTATTTTTAATTGAGATCTAAGGTCTCTAAAGGTCACAAATATTCAGATTTATAGCTGAATAAGCGCCCTCACTTGCTATTTTAAAAGTGATGAATTTGCTGTCAGTGCAGTCATGTATCTGTGAATAGATGGCCAATGCTGTGGAATGCAAAACATAATATTATTTCTTAATCCAACAGGAAAGCATATTAATATTTTAAAGTCCATGCCAAGGGAAAGATACACTACAAACATAACTTACGTTTTTTTTTATAAGAAACCCATATCTCATAAACTAATCTCAACCAAATTTAGAATTTAAAATCAGCAAGTGATGATGTCCATGAAGGGCACAGGCTTTATATACCATAAAACTCACTACACATCACAAATTGCATGCTGTTTCTCTTCAGTTGCTGGCCATCCCTTGTTTTCTCCATTGACACCCAGCCTGTGGTTTCGAGCATGATTGTGAGTCAGGCTCTGGAAAAATCACTAACATTTGTTTCTCAGGCACTCCCACAGCATTTGGGATAAAAAGTAAAACAAGATGATGACTTAGTAAAGAACATTCTGTCCTTCTTTATGACACAGCTTAATTGCACTAATCAAAATACATAAAGAACAACATGCAATACACTCCATAACATCCTCTCAGTTAATGAATGCAGTTACCGTTACAGGTACAACATGTCACAACACTATAAAATAATGCAATGTAAGTTCATTTATAAATGTATTCATCTATGTAATGGAGTATCATAAAACTATATATAAAAGCATAGTTTATATTTCTGAAGAGCAAACTCAAGCTGACCTTGCAAGCTGCTACATTTCTATGTTTGAAATAGTTGATTCGAATGAATAACCCATGCAGTTCTCCCCAATACCATCATCTTTGCTGTGGTTGTTACATTAATTCATTTGTCTAGCTGCTGCAGGGTGACAATGTGCAAAATCTGTTGTAGCTTTCATGGACTTGTTGTGTCGCTGAAAATAGCAGGGTTAAGTCTGCTTAGTTTTCTTTACAGTAAATTATTTATGTATAAAATAAGGCCTGCTTGATGACATTTCTCAGAATCCACAAAACATCTTGCATCAATATTGTTGCTGTGTAAACAAGAACATTTGCAGTTGTGTTTTTTGTTTTACACTTCCTAGAAAAATCCAGGAAAACAGACACATGTAGCAAGTCCAAAACAGTGTTGTTCAAGCTCACACGCTAGCTCAGAGTTCTGCTCACACAGATCGAAATTAACATGTTCATTATTTTGAATTTTGAATGAAGTCCATTGTCCCAACACAGTTAGTACATTTTCCATTTTTTAATTACCTTTATAAATCTGTGAGTTTGACTTAGGTGGAGGAACTGCAGCTGTTGGGTTGTGGTCTTACCCATACAATCTTATTTCACTGGCTTTCAACCATTTTATTTTTTAAATTATTTTTATTTTTGTCATCCATGATGTTGCGATGTAATAGTTCCGCTAGAAAATGTTCCATCGTTCACTAGTGCTTGTACCTCTTTCATAATGGGAACTCCTCTCTGTAATATTAGTTGTATATCTTGAGTTTTAATGGTTTTAACTAAACAGTAAATGAGCGTTTTCTCTCAATCACATTTGTTCAGTATGATACATACCTTGGCGCTCAATTGTGATTTATTGCTCAGATCTAGATTTTTTGTTTTGTTGTCTGTTTGTTTGTCCTGAAGTGACCCGCATGACGGATATATCTAGGGTGGCATAAAAGTCACATAAATTCTGATATGACTGTTCAGGTCAAGGTCGTATTGCAGTTTAGTTTTGTGTTTGTTTGTTTCTATCTGGTAGCTGCTGTTTGTATGTCTGTGTCAGGTTTCATAATTCAAAAGTGTGTAGGTTTGTTCAGATTAACATATTATTATTATTGTTATTCTGTCTGAATAACAGTAAGTTAGTCAGCCAGCTCTCCTGGAACAGAATTTTACATGAATGCATAATATGTACAGGGATGAAATTTGACGTATTGGCTTCCAACCTTGTCACTGCCTGCAAGGATATATCAAGCTTAGCACGGCAGAGATTGAGGGGTAACAACAAAAACATTCCCGGAGGGGAACTTAGAGTCTGCAGGCTGCTGCTGGAGTGGAGGTCATAAGCCCTTATGAAGTGAGAAGCAGCAGCACTCGTGATTGCAGTTACACCTGCAATGACGTTCTGACATGTCACAGTAAAGCAAAGGTGTAACTAATAACATCAATGATGGCCCTTTTCCATTTTGGTGTGCCAGTAAACCACCATGCGCAATGCCATGCCCCTTTAACTGACACACCTAAATGGGAAGCAGTCATTTTTAAAGTTATTTAATACACCTGTGTTTGACAAGTCAAAATGTCTATTTATATTCAAAGATAATGCGGATGCTTTTATCCCCTTCACTACATTTGAGTTGGAAAGTGTTCTGGCTGCTCTGATTGTTTCAGTAATGCTAAGCTGAATGTGCGCGTACATGCTGTGGAAATCCCCAGTACAGCTTTTGTAATGCAAGAAGCAACCAAATTCACATCATCCCTTTCAAGACACCATTGTATTTCCAAAGTTTAAATAATGAACAATAAAATAAATATGGGACACGGTGTAGGAGCTGCTGAAGATGTCTCAGCTGCCATACATCAGTGCATTCACAAGTTTGGTTTTCATAAAATTAAACCTGAAAATCACACACGGTTTAATAATGTGAATTCTGTAACCTCTGTTATTACATCGGCTGCTGCTCATCTGCTGACTGTTAAGTCTTGACGCACATGAACATATCACAGCACAAGTGTCTCCTACGCTGCTCACAGCTCCCTGCAGCAGCTTTTTCAATCAAATGTATAAAACATAAGAACAGGTATTTTTACAAACCATGCAAGACGAAAAGGATAGTACAGTCTACAATTACAGATAGTCTGCTGTACCCGAAAATGTGTGTGTGCGTATGCGTGAGGCAGATGGGGGTGGTATTAGTTCATATTTTTGAACTGATTTGGTATCTCGAACAGGCTGTTCATTTTGATCTAATCCCTCAGGAAATAACTGCTATCAAAATGTATTTTCATAATCTCAACACTAATGCATGAACAAAATAGTGTAGCGGTGTCTATGATGTATTAAGTCAAAGGCAAATGGACTTTTAAATTGTGACAAAAACTTCATAAAAATGACAAAACTGGGTGGACGATCTTTTAAATGCTAATAGGGCAAAAAAAGGTCATCCCAACACAATTTCATGGATTTGGACTGGAATTTAAAACCAACACATCAAACAGTAGTCCAACACCTGCTTTAGAAAATCCTTCTCATTGGGACTGAAAGACGATATATTGTCTTTGATAATCTTGTCACAGAAAAAACAAACATATCACAAGTTAAATGTGGAAACTAGGCCACTCGTATCCAGAGGGAGAGCTGAAGAAAAGGTGCAAAAGCCCCTCCTCTCACTGTGGCGTTAGACACCATATCAGTTTGGCATCTACATCTATTTTAGAGCACATGCTTGATGTTATTAGTGATGTTCTGCATCTACAGAGACAGAACATTGTGTAACTCAACAGCTGGGTTAGCCAGGCATATATGGTGAGTCAGATGTTTCCAGTTTAAAGTGATACTCCACCCAATGTCTGTTTTTGGAGTATCACTCACCTCTTGTGGGGTTAAAAGGTGGCTGTCAAAAGTTGTGTAGTAGCTTGTGGCTAATTTAATAGCCATAAGTCTTAATAGCCAAACATGATACACCAGTGTGAAGAAGTGATGAGTGAGAAATGGAAGATGACAGTTGTGCCTTCTTAAGAGGACAGAGCATTTCAAACTTTTAATACATTTTGGAAAGTATGTTGAATTAGATGCTAGTTTCTTGTCAGACATGTAGCATTGTCTGTCTCTATTTCTGCACCACCTCTCTTCCTCTTACCTTCGCAATTCAAGCTGGCATTAAAGGGTATTTTAGGAATATTTGTTTTACATATTATTTATACAAATGATGAATCCACAAGACAGAAGATAGTTGCTAATTGCGTATGAGAAAGCCTCGTTACCACTAAACCTACAGTACAGTAACAATGGCTGAGCTATGTTATTTGTGATTGTGTGTTTGTTTCACAAGAGGTGAATACACTGTATACCTATCTGCAGCTGAGCTTTCTCCACTACACCTTTTTCACTGTAACAGTAAGGACTATTGGGTTCTGTGTAGATGAATGTGTTTCAGGGCGCGCTTGTGAGAGGTGCGTCACTAAAGGGCTTTGTTTGATGCTATGATTACAAATTTCACACTTTTCCGAAAACAGACCAATGTGTCAAAATTCATATCTGACATTACAGACGTGTTAGCCTTTCTCTCTTTCCATTTGCAAAACAAGTTGCTGCCAATTTTTCTTTTTTTTCTGACTTGGCAAAAAAGACCTCAGAAAATAAATATTGACACTTTTGTACCAATCAGTTGTGTGCAAATACAGCATTTATTTCAATCAGCCAAACAGCTTATACTTTCTAAAAAGAAAACTAAACCTTTTTATTTAGATAAGTGGCATTTCTAGCTTTGTTGCATTCAAAAAACACAATGTAGCTTTAGAGGAAACACTGTGCAGGTCTTGGCCCTTTATGTGTGCAGTTCCTGTATAACCATGAAGTATTTACTGATGATGTCTCTCTTTCTCCTTACACCTCTTTCCATCTGTGTGTGTGTGTGTGTGTGTGTGTGTGTGTGTGTGTGCTCGTCTCTTTTCATACCTTGTGTACATACTTGTGCTATATATTGATGTTGTGTGCATGTCTGTGTGTGTGCATGTGGATACATACGCCTATCCATACCTCTGACAGGGATGACATGTCAGGCACGGAGCTCCTACCTGGACACAGAGGTGCTTTGGGGTTACCGCTTCACGCCAGTTCTCTCCCTGGAGAAGGGCTTCTATGAGGTAGACTACAACAACTTCCACGATATCTACGAGACCAACACGCCCACCTGCAGTGCCAGGGAGCTAGCTGCTAAGCTTCGGGAGGGGCCGCTATTGCCTCAGCTTTCGCTCCTTAGCCCTGAGCCCAAAATGCATACTTTTGACCCCCTAGACCGCCTGTCCAAACCGGACCCACTCAGCCGGGATGAGGACAAAGAGGAGAGAGATTCAGGGGCTGACAGAGGAGAGACAAATGGCTCAGCTGCTGCTTTGGAGGAGCCGCCCCTTGCTGATGGACTACCTGACTGATGTGACTGACAGCCACATCAGCTAAAAACCCAGGACAGACTGGACAGGAGGACAGGACAATATAATGCTTAATTTAGTCAATGGCCAGCTTGTTCCATTGCAATGCTTGGAGATACAAGACATCCGTCTCCAGCCCCCGACTCATGCAATACTCCTCTACTAGAGTGTCAATCTATAGTATAGATTGGTTTTGTAGACACGTAAGTACACATACACAAACACACACGTACAGTATCTATATCCTACACTTAAAGGTTGGTGGTTCAGATTGTCTTTTTATAATCGCAATGACCACTTAACTGCTATAACAGCTCAAGTTGTATAATGTAAACTTGAGCTGAAACTGGTAGCCATGACAAGAGTTCCATGGGCTTATTATGGATACTCCAATATTCTCATTTTAGAGTGTGTTTATTCAGCTTCATTTGATCAGAGTATCAGTCTCATAACTCAGCTAATGTGTCTGACAGCAGCTTCTGCGTGGTAATGGAACCTTGTTATTGATTTTTTTCCCCTTTTTTAATGTGGGGGCTTATTATTTACTTTCTCTGTCAGTGTTGTTATTATCCTGTGTCAGAAACCCAATTCACCTAGGAGGAAATGTATAAGCCTTCTAGTTTGCATATAGACAAGAGAAGATGTAGGAAATTGTTCTATAAAAGGCAATGTGTACTGGCAACCGCTATCCAATTTTGTTTTCTGTGTTCATATCTTCCTCATGGTTGTACCGTCATGAATACTCTCACTGTGTTTGGTTGTCTCCCCAACATACTGGGAGCCTTGACCCAAAAGAAACCAGCTAGTACCTCATTTTATACTCATTTTCAGGGTTTGAAATTAACAATAAGAACAAGGCAAATGCTGGTAAAAGCTGTACAGTATGCTACTGACTGACTATTTTGAAAACGTCTCAACTGGTTAAAGATTTAATTCCCCTTCCCACTGCGGCAACTAAAACATTAATTCCAAGCCCTTTTCTTGGTACGTAAAGCACAATTTCCCATGAGTCGACTCCACACTGACCTAAGCACCCACCTAGCCACCGCTACTGGCTGATGCATGTCAGTCCTAGTTAAAAGTGACATTCAAATGTAGATTCAAATATTTGTATGAAATATTTATGTTCAACTGCTATTTGAAATGTTCTTGATTTTTATACACCACACACATGAATACTGCAAGTGCTCCCCAAGCAAAATGAAATACCCCATGTATCCTTTTATGTTTGTTTTGTTTTTGTTTAAAATATTTAAAAGATATTCAACCTTGGTATATTTCAGCTACATAAAAGTTGAGTCTACTGATGATAGGAGCAGGTCTCATGAGTTTAGTATCTGGCCAGCCCATCACCTGCAATATTTGCCTTCTCTGTAATTATTTGCTCGCAACTTCACCTCTAGCTCTCACCTTATGGTTTTTTTCCACACACACACACACTTGGTTCACTCTGCACTTTGGCCCTGTTTCACAAACCGCCCCTGGGTCTTTTGCTCAATATAGTTTATGGCCCTTGTGACTACTGTTTTGGAAGTTGACACTTAGCCTACAGTATTTTATTTGGTTTTATTTTTTCTTTGAAAGGACACATCACAGCTTGCATGCATGAATCAACCCCTATGTGTCCTATTGCTGAGTCAGTTTAATACAGTAAGAAATACAGGGTATTTTCTAGGCATGCAAATTATGAGATTTCTACAATATATTATAAGATAATGTATGAATATTCAATTATCATTTCTCGAAAGAAAAATTAGATTCCTAATACTTTAAAATCTCCCACTCCCCAATTTGATGTTAAATTGTTCTTTTTTTACAGATGCTTGTCCAATAAATGTATTTATTTTCACTGTGACATTTTTTCATCCTACTCTGTATTCCATTTGCTAACGATACATTTGTCATTAGAAAGGGATCATCTTTCATTGCTGGAATGTCATCTGTTTTCTGTGTGTTCTCATGGGAATAAACATAATATGGCCGAAAGAACAACATGTTCCTGTTAGATAATGTGTGCATGCATGAGCAAGTGTATGAGAGTATGTGAGTGTGTAGTTATTTTGCACATAACTTTGCAACTGAGGACTGGAAAGTACCTTAATTTAGCCTGCGTGACAGCACACTCTATCAACTACAGTGTGACAAAATGACCTATGGCTCTCAGTAAAACAACTGTGACTTGACAAACTGGCTACCTGAAAACTGATTAGTTCTGTATCAAATCATGAATAGGAGACTTAAGCAACCTTTAATTATCAGCATAGAACAATCTTGCCTTGCTTGAGGCAAAAACTGCTTCATGCATGCTGCGGAAACAAATACGAGGGATAACATCAAGAACTTTATCACCCCCTTCCCATGTCTAAATTTGAATTAATTAATTAAAATTGTACAGCAGCAAAGTCTGGGTACATCTCAGCAGTTACCCAAACCCTCCCTGCGTTAAATAGTGAAATCTAACAGTAGTTGTCTGAGCATATAAAGGCAACTAACCAATGGTTTCTCATGGATTAACATGATTGTGGCTGCTGGAGTCCTCAGACACCTTAACAGCATCCCTGAGTCAGCTTTGCGTGTTCGGAGCCTGCAATTCCACAGACACATGCACACACACAGGAAGACACAATCACAGAAAACAGCTGGCAGACTGATTAAGGACACCACAGCTATTAACTACGCACAGAAAAAACACTGCAGAAGTCACAGGGGTAATCACATTTATCCAGTGTCTACAGAGTACAAGCAGTCAGAAAATGAAACATGGTGTTACATTTGGTGGCCAGCGTGTCACAGAAATTCACTGAATCACAGCAATGTGCTGTCAAAGCTATTCTTGTCCGAGCTATTAAATTTGGAAGCTGGATCGTCAGCAAGCTGACAGTCCCTGATTCAAATCTGAATAATGTACGATGATGAATATAATGCATCCATTGAATGGTGCATTGAAATAGGTACCCAAGGCAGGTGCATGTGGGCTGTGAGAGAAAGAGAAAGAGAGGGGGGAGACATAATCAGTCATCACAACCTCAAGCCAGCAGCACAAATGAACACACGATAACACCCACAAACACACAACAAGACAGAAAAATTGTGCATTTCAGCTTTTGCCAAGTGAGACTGTGCCCCTTTTACAACAAGCAAATTATGAAAGAAAATGAACAAAGACAGATGAAATTGCTTAAGCTGATGAATGGCACCACACCAGCAGAGTAACTGGCTATTGTTCTTCCTCTTTCTGTGGCTCTTTCCTTCTCCTTTAAATAATGCATGCTCATGACGAACAAGGAAGCACATAGACCATTAACAACTGCGTAGTCAGAATAAAACATCCTGCACAAGAAAGAGAATTACAGTCACAGAAAAAAAAGCAAGTGGGAGGAATTTTACTCTGCTACAACACAGCTCTTAACATATTCTTGCTCCATCCTCGGCCTCCCCTTATTTTGCTCTTGCAAACAACCTGACCCCATCAAACACCTCCCACACGGAGACACAATCAAGCAGTTTTACAGTACTTTTCACATTTTTCCATGGATTGCCTGGTGTTTGGTTTTTTGTTTTTTTTTCCTCATCCAGAGCAGACTAAAGGCGAGCTCCCAAACCACACTGTCCCCTGTTTAGCAACTGTGACTCTCTGCTGCAATTCTATCTTATTAAGCATTCAAATATCCTTTTACATGGTACTGTAATGGTTCCCCTGTCTTCATTCCCTTACAGCTCCCACTGGTAAAAGAAGGCTTTATGTATGTCATTTCTTTTCTCTTTTTTGAAGCTTGTCATTTAACTCTCCCGATATGGCATAGGTTGAAGCTCCTCCTGCACATGCATCTTCATGTGCAGCTTTATGTCTATATGCCAAAACACTTGGTGGGTTTCCTGGGAATCTTTCCCTGCACTGTTAGTCTGAACAAAAGCTGTAAGCCTCCAGAATCCTGCAGTGAACATGTTACAAAACCTTATGTAATACAGCTTCACACAGAGCAAGTGAACCAATCACAGGATGCTCTGAGGTGACGTATTTTAGTCTGCTGTTTGTTCACGGTGAAAATTAGTTTGGAGCAGGTCAGTTAAACAGTTTGAAGCAGTTATTGTCAGGGGGGCAAAAATCTCTTTGTATCTTCAGAAATATCTGAAATTAGCCATATAGGAGCTACTCATCCATCCACATTTTTCTTAGAACAGAAACATTGCATGCAACCATACGACCATGTGTTAACTTACAGCCTCACCACACATTTCTTAGACTTGCCATGTGTTTCAGAGATTGTGGCTAGAAGTCTGAAAAGAGAAAACCACTGGCATTGCCAGACAATTCTGCCTGGTTCTCTATAAAAGGAGCTTGATAAAAGATCTTTTTCCGGAGTTTTGAATGGTGCAGGCAGACAGATGCACAGACACAGAGAGAGAAACCTTTGCCTTTTCCCAGCCAGGAGACAGAGATCTGCCCTTTGATGTGTTTGGACGATGGCAGCCTTTGATGAGGATTTCTATGGCCGCAGAGTGGCTGTGGCCCCAAATTGAGCTGGCTGAGCTTTACCTGCCAAGTAGCAAAGGCAAGCAACACTGAGAACATAAGAATATTCAAGGGTATTCAACTGTATAGTCAAGTGCCAACATTAAAGCGTTAGTTCCACATTAAGATACATTTTATTTGCTCTCTTGCTCAGAGTTAGGCCAGTATAAGAAGACTGATGAACCACTACCATGTCTGTACGAAGCTTCTAACATATAAGCATGAAGACTGGAAACAGCTAGTGTAGTTCTCTCCGAAGGTAATGTAATGTATATTTGAACATTAATACAGCAACTATTTGCTGCGTAAAGATATAATAGAGCAATGGCATCCAGAGCAGATTCTTAATTCACACCCCCTCTGGGTCTGTAGCAAGTGTGAACCTATCGTGGCTGCACAGTTGCTAGGCTGTAGCAGGAGACAATAGCGGCTCGTCTGGTCACAAACAATCTCATATTACAGTGAAACAGTACACTACAATATGTTTTAGGGGAGAAATAGGCAACACAGTAACAGAATTTTGCTCTCTTCGTATCTGTTCAGCGCTGCCTACTTTGATCTGAGTTGTGTGCGTTGCACTGGACGCACTCACTGAGAATCAGTTGCCAATCCCAGAGTAGCCACGCTAACCCTCCAGTTTCCAAGCCAAGTCCCTACAGACAGTCAACCCTTGTCACCTTCCTGTCTGTCTTCACCTGTCCTAATAAAGGCATATGAGACTGCAATCTTCTCAACTAACTCTTGGCAAGAAAGCAAAAAAAAGGATTTCCCAAAATGTAGAACTATTGCTTCTCCCAGGTAAAAGGTATCAATAGGGATAATAATTTTAATAATTTGCTTCACTTCATGTCAATAACTTCTGGAGCTGTAATTTGTTTAATGCTTTGTGAGCTAATTCTGTCACCTCAGGCCTTGTTTAGACGGTACAAGCCAACAGAGCATACAGGGCCGGATGAATTAACATTGACCTTTTAGCATCATAGTTAGCCATTACTTCTACATTAATGCTGCAGTGAAACATGAACTGAATGTAGAGCTTTTGCATGAGGTGCAGAGAGGATTCTGTAATCCACAACTACTTTAGAAGCTTACTGAGTCATCATCATGGCACAGCAAAGAGCAATGCAGCAAACATCGGATGTTTTGATACTTGGGGTTTTGGGAAACAAAAAAAAAAACTGAAAGATTATGGTGGAGGTTTGTTTGCTTTATGACATTTTCTTTGCTTTTCTTAGACAAACAATGGAAGTCTGCAGGTTTCAAGGAAGAGCAGGAAGTGAGGAAGCATCAAGGTAATGGAAAGTGGACTTTCTCAATTATAGTTTTAACATTTTAAGAGAAAAAAAGTCAAGTGAAGAACGTAGCAGTTCAGTTATTTTTTGTTATATATGTACTTTCTTTTCTCAGTGTCTAGAAAGTATAAATTTGAACAAGTGACCCTTTGGTTACCAGCCAGGCTTTCGAAACAATTAAAATCTGCACCATGGCCATTGTTTTACTTCTTCTGGAATATTTTACAGCCAGTTATGACATGAAACATTTACTCTGCAGTCTCTTATCTAAATATTGCGCTTGTAAGTGTAGGGGAAAAAAAGAGGCTGGGACTGAAGGTCTCTTTTGAACTCATGGTGGATTTAAGCCCACTTGAGAGCCTTTGAATGTGTAGGAGAAAGTCTGTGAGATGTGAGAGATCCCACATCAATGATAGAGATAAATCAATAGTTCCACACAATGGCTCCAAATGAAGGCATCGGTTAGCTTTGTCTGCGAGCTCTGTTACCCAGAAGCACTTTGTTCTAACAGTATTTTTAAGCCTCCGCAAGACCTACTATGCGTGGAGGCAAGGTTTATAGTCATAGAATAGCCATTCAGGAAAGATGTAACCTTTTCTGTATGTTGAGTGGAATGCAAAAAAGAGAAGACAATAGAGACAGATAAATACCTTTAAACGCTTTAAGGGTTTATTGATTTTATAACACCAGCAGCCTACGGTGTATCAGTTTCAGAATCAATACCCAAGCTAATGAAGCAGCCTTCTTTTTTCATGAAAATCATACAAATTAAATTATAGTAAGGCTATTCATATTTTCATTACTCCCTGCAGTGAGGATAGCGTATAATGTTGTAGTTGCAGAAAAACAAACTGTGGCTTTATTTGCAGCAATCATCAAATCACATGAGATGAAGTGTAATTGGTTTTATGTGCATTTAACAGAGCACTGTAAATCACATTAGATTTCTTATTTCACTGCATACTGTGCAGTTTATGGGTTTGTCTGCAAAAGGCAACTGTGGGAAACCAAATTACCTCATGCAGAGATAAGTTTGTACTCTCTAAATTTATCTTTTTCATTTCTCTTTCCCTCTCTTTCTCTTTCTATCCATCTATCTCGCTCATTGAGTGGGTACCCTCATGACTCCTCTCCCTCCTACGCACCAAAACAATACTAGAACAGGAAAGAGCTCTGTCCGGTTCTCA